ACCCGACGGCAGAAGAGGGTGTGGATCACCCACACCCCGTCAAGGCTACTTCGCACGAGCTTCTAGAGCTCCACCTCGATAATCACCACCTTCTTCTTCTGTCGACTAGCAGGGCCCCACGACCAGTTCTCCTGCCTCTCCAGCCTCCTGCCGGAGAAAGGCAGAAATGGTGCCTCCGCCAGGTTCCTGATGTAGAACCATTCCCCGTGCCACCCCCGATTGGAATAACAGGGGGTGTACACAGGGTACGAGCCCAATGCGCTTGGTTTCTTCTGCAGCGCGAACCCCCCCACCGGCGTGATCATGAGCGGCTTTCCCTCCGACAAAGCTCGCCCAGAGAACAACCGCCCAAAGAGGTCCACGTGCGGCTCCATCCCGAGGAAGGCCTCGCACATGGTGTCGAATCTGGCGATGTGCAGCACCCCAGTCGGATTGAGGTGTTGCAGCTCCAGGCTCCACTCATTGAGGAGCCCACGCAGGAACTAGTGCATGGGGTATCCTAACCCACGCTCATGGAAGGTGAGGAAGGAAACAACCTCACTGGCCTGAGGTTGCGGGAAATCCTCCCTCCTAGGAGCCCTCTAATGCACCACCTCCTTCGGTGGCAGAAACCCCTTCTCGGCGAAGGCAGCCAGCACCGACTCCCTCACGACGGATGACCTCCAGCTCGACATTTTGCTCTGGATTCGCAAATGGATTTGTGAGTTTTCTCCTCTCCCTCGCTCTCCCGTTTTCTCTCCTAGGAACCGCCACGGTGCTCAGACGCTCTCGGCGAGAAGGAAGAAGAAGAGGCGGCAGATGAGGAATAGGCGAAGGAACGGAACGGAAGCCCTCTCCCTTCCCCTACTTAAAGAAAGAGGCACAACAGTTGGGAAAGGCGTAGCGATTGGGGAAAGGCGAAACGACGGGGGCGAAAAATCCTCTCCCTTCCCCCATTCAATGCGGATGGGATACGATGGGACGCGCCCTGACCGATGGGACGCACCCTGCCCGACGAAACGGCGCTTGGTCAGACGAGACGTGGCCTGGGTATGGCCCACCACTACCACACACCGGGCGCAAGAAACAAGACGCCACTACGCGCATGCAGCCCTTCGCCTTCCTAGGTAGGACTTAGAAAGACCCAAACGATGGGATCTCTGTCAGGAGAGACCAACGGGCTTCCTGAGTCGATCGGATGGCTCAGGCGAATGCCGAGAGATAGGTAAGGAGCAGAGGGATGCCCCATGTGGGCCATGCCGACTCCGTCATAGACGACGAGCGGATCCCGGTCGGACATATCCGATAGGAGCTCCTCAAACCCCATCACTCGAGTCATCAAGGTAACATTACCAACCCCCACTATTTCTTTATATGAACATTCATTCATCCATGCACGCATTCATTCATTCCATACATCCAAAAGCATCGCATATGTAGTTAAACGCATCACAACGCTCCGTGTTGCGTCAGGAAGTGGCAGTTGCCTCATTCGACATGAGCAATGACTGACCGGGGTTCGAAGGCCGGTCCACGAAGGGCTTGAGGCACGCCTCACGACAAACAGAGCCAGGCGAGAAAACATAGATGAGCCCCGAGCGGCCCTCACCTAGTCTGCCCTGAAGCAGACAGGGCCATCTCAACCTTCTTGTTCGATCCTAACCTCCCGCCAAACCCACATAATCTCCATCGGGTCGGTCTTCAGAACGATCCAGGCATCTGTCGGGTTGCGGGTTAAGGAGCAATGAAGTGCCGCATGAGGGCTATGCCGACCCCATCACGAACGACGGACCCGGACTTCACTCGAATATACCCGTTAGCGAGCTCACCGAGCGCGTCACTCGAGCCATCGAGGCAAGCGACGTTAGCTCAGCCCCTCCGGTTGCGAGAAACCACAGACAGGGTAACGCACAAAACTCAACCGACCCCTACCAAGCCCAACGGGGCTCAGGGCCTCAAGACACCTAAATGCCTCGGCTACGCCTGGGTCCACGACTCTGACTCGCCCGATCCCCCGGTGCCCCCAACGCCTGGATCCGCGAGTCTGCCTCGTTCGATCCCCTGGCGCCCCCGACGCCTAGATCCACGACTCTGACTCGCCCAATCCCTCATCGCGCCCGACGCTGGATCCACGACTCCGACTCGCCTGATCTCTCGTGGCGCCCGACGCCTAGATCCGCGACTCCAACTCGCCCGATCCCTCGACCACGACCAAACGCATGGGACCATGCTCCTGGAAACGACGGGTCAGAAATCGAAAAAGAAGAGACTACGCCACTACAGTGCACACACGCCCGCTAAACAAAACCACCCAGGCGACTCCGACCGAATCACCCACGGGGCTCGGGGGCTACACCCGCGGGTGCGCTCGTGCGCACCCGCTAACGAAACGAAACTTCCCTCGCTGGCAACACGAAAACCCCCCAGACGATTATACCCGAATCGCTCGGGGGCTCGAGGGCTACACCCGCGGGTGCGCTCGCGCGCACCCACCGTCAAGACAAAAATCCCCCAGACGATTCTACCCTAATCGACTAGGGCTGGGGGGCTACACCCGCGGGTGCGCTCGCGCGCACCCGCCATCAAGATAAAAATCCCCCAGACGATTCTATCCGAATCGCCCGAGGGCTCGGGGGCTCCTGTCGGGTTCATAAACCCGAGGTCCCTCATGGACCGGCTTTCCAACAACGGCTCGGCCCAGCAGACAACGTTGCGAACGACGCATAACTCCTGGGCTGGCCCAAATACCTAAACGACAGGCCAGAAAGGCGATCCAATCTCCGACCGGGAGGCCTGACAGAGGAGGAACAGGCGCCCGCTTCCGACTCTGGCCCGCCTCTCCGACCGGAAGGCGGAACAGCGCTCGCTTCCGACTCTGGCCCGCCTCCGGACGGCCTCTCCGACCGGAAGGCCTAGCCGAACACCTCTTCCGACTCCGACCCGCATTTTCGACCGGGGATGCGCCGAACCCCTGCTTACAGCTCTTCTCCGACTGGCGCAATTAGAGCCGATTGGGACCAACCGACCAGGGACGGCTCGGTGAGGACCAAGAAACGGACGAAGAAAGTAAGGCAGGGCACACAAGTCAACCGCAATACCGAGGACCGTTCTCTGTACATCTGCAGGACAGTACCCTGCGACCTTCCTGGCATGTCAAAACCCAAGCAGTGTTGTGGGCGCTGACATTTTCCCTACAGTGTTGTGGGCGCCACCAACTCTCATGCCAGACAAACACGGTAAGGCTCCCCCACATGCCTCTGGACATCAACAATGTTGCGGGCGCCGGCATTTACCATACTAGGCGAATATGGTAAAACCTCCTACATGTCTCTAGGCATCAACAGTATGGCAGGCATCGACGTCTGCAATACCAGAAGATGACGACACAACCTCCCACATGCATCTGACATTAACAGTGTTATGGGCGCCCACAATCATCTTGTACCCATCGGCGTGGGCAACAAGACTTAGCATACGTACACTCTCCCTCTCTCGCTTATAAGGCCATCCCCTTCATTTATAAAAGGGGATGCGCTCTCCCAAAAGGAGAGATCGATCAGTTCACTCACACTCCACAACAGAACCACTGGGTTCAAATCTCGAGGACATGCTCGAACACTTAGCATATAGCGGAGCTCCCGTCGCTCTCGGCCCTTCAAACCAGAGTCCAACCGGACCTCTTGTATCCCCATCTTTTTCCTTCTCGTTTGTAACCTCACTGTAAACTTCGAGCACCTGAGCTCAGGAATAAAGTCATCGACCAACTCAAACTGAACGTAGGACATGTTGCCTGAACCAGTATAAACCCTATGTCATTAAGTACTAAGCCACATCCAATCACAACGTACGACAAAACTATAAATATTTACATGTTGGTCACTTTCTACACCGACAATTTATGACATCAAATTCATACCATTAGATATACCGTAGAATACATCTTCATAATATGCATATTTTTTGTCATAGATGTTGCTTTTTATGTAAAGTTAGTTAAACTTAAGATAGTTTGACTTACCCAGATTCTAGAAATTGATTTATTTAGGGACAGAGGGAAGAGGGAGTAAAAAGGATAAGGACCCAAATATATAAAAAAATTAAGAGTTGAAAATCTGAATGGCACCGCCTACAAGTTCAAAAAGATTCAAATATCAAAAACTGGAGAGTTGTGACTTGTGACCCACGTGACAGCGTCGCGCTTTCTAGTTAATCACTGACACATTCACGTGGCTCGGATTTTGACACGAAGGCCAGCCTATCGAAATCTGCCGCCAAATTAGCACAGGAATACATATCATTTTCCACATTTAATCCTTTTCATATCAACATCTCGACAACAGCATAAATTTTAAAAACATGGGCTTCACTAAAGATATACATCAATACAATGAATCAGCCATATCCCCAAAAAATTGCAACTTCTCACTCGACAAGGCAACGAAACAAGCTTGAATAAAACTTGTGCCCCCCAATCTGGGCCTAGTCACTACCAACCTACACTACTTACAAAAACTAACTATACTTTTTTCCTGTTTTTCATCCCTGTGTATAAGTACAAAGTTAGATCAAACTTGTGGCCTCAGTCAGCCACTCAGCTGCATGCAAATATACAGTTAGATAGCCTTGTGACATCCTGGCCTTCATTCTATATGTCCTACATCACGCTGCTTAAAATCACAATTTATGGTTGTGGATTCCATGGGAGAGATTCCCTTGCTACTCCACCTGGAAAATATGCTCTTCAACCTTTTATGGAAGTCTTGTGTATTGTGCCAGCAGACCCCCATTTCCCTTTCTATGCGATCTTATTGTATTTTAGTACCTCAAGCAATAGATAACGCAGTTGTAACTGGAGGTAGTATCACAAGTGTGGAGTAAGCTGTGGCGATACAACACCATGAGCAGAATCCCTCGCTCTTTCCAACTCATTGCGAAGAAAGCAACATGTTAAAGCAGAAGTGACTTACATACAACATTATTCTTCCCCTTGTTCCCCTATTTTGTATTCACCTTGTTATATGTCAGAAATGTTCCTTGTGGAATTCGAATTTTGTTGTAGACTTGCCATTGAATTCATAACAAAGTTTGCTTAGTTCCTGTGCCAGAACTGGAGCCCCACAGTAGAACACTCCTGTACACAATAACAACAATTACCTTCTTACAGTGATCATATCATAGAAGATGGGACCAAGATTACTGATTCGACCAGAAGTGGCCGTTGTTTACCCCTAAATATTTCTTTTTGGGATATATGGACATGCTTTGTTGCCCTGGCCAGGCCCAGGCAGCACCATCCCACCCAAAATCAGACGCCTGGGGTTGCTGCCTGGGCCAGGCAGCTTTCCCATGGTCTGAACTATACAGGCCCAAAATTAGCCAGAAACAAAAGTATAGAGTTCCAACAGTCCTTGTTTCTGCAAGGAGGCTTTCAAGTCCTTACCCATGTCAGATCATTAATGGTGTGTTTGGTTTGAGAAATGAATTAGTCCATCATCTACTCATTCCTCACTTTTTTGTTTGGTTTGTGGAATGGAATAGGTTGATGCATCATCACCTCATTCCTCACACAAGCTAAGTATTAGTAATAGTATGAGGAATGGATTCATGACCACCTCATCTAGAATGGAGTGATTCCTCCAACCAAACACACCCTAAGTTCATAGTAACCACCTACTTTTACTGAGATCTAGGAAGTTTCTTGCTTTAGTTATATGCATGAGCTAGTTCAAGTTTTATAAAGGAGTTAACAAAACCATCCTGAAGGATATTCACAGCTAAAAATGAAAAAAGATAGCCTTCAACTATATCAGGAATATGAAACGTATCTGACCTATCTTAGCATATGGATGTTTGGTAGCTATCTTAGATAGGACCTTCTTAAAATTTGGTCTTGCAAAATGTGTCCGCACCTGCAAAAACAGCTTATCAGTACAACAAAAACAAAGATTTTTCGGCCAAGCGAGTTGGGGTAGGCAAAAAAAAAAAAAAGAACAACATATCATTTGGTACCAAATGACAAGTTATTCCACATGTTTTCTTAACCTGTACTACAATGAAGTTTTAACGCTTTAGGGTGTGATGCATATTGGAGTGCTGGAACTTACTTTAGTTCCAGAAACTATATCAACACCATTCTTGGCATGGTTGAGAGCTTGTAGCATCGTAATGAGTGCTGACCGGGCATCCCCTTCCTCGTAAACACTTGTGAGATAGTTGTGCATCTCAATGATATTCTAGTATTGAACAAGAGCATCTGTAAGAACAAATTTGCAAAGGGAAAAACCAAATAGCATGATCTGTAAAAGATAACGGCTTGATGATACATACCCTCTGATCTAGTTCAGCAATTTCATTCATGACCCCTTTAAACCAATCAAAAGACCCTTGTTCACGTGTCACCCAATAAAAGTAAGCATTTGTTGTCTTCAGTACCCTCTTTGGTTTTGAGGTAATCCTCATAAGGGTGTCAAGATCAACATGTGCCTTGCTGCGACCAATTGGTGGGTAAAGATCGCTTGAAGCTTCCTGCAAATTTTACGTGAATAAATTAATTACTGGTCTAGTCTGGTATTCATGAGGAAGAATGTTTGAATAGATGACTAACCAAACACAAAGAAAACAAGAATTACAATCATTGTTAATTCCTAGATCACAAAACAGAAAATAAGAGGCCAGTTTTTGTTTTTTAATATAATATAAGAGGCCAGTTGGGGATATGAGAAAGATCGCTTACTTCCTCTTCCTCCATTTTGATGATGTTATTGAGCAGGTCTTTCAGTATGCTAATAAAAGGTGTGGCACCAATTCCTAATCCGACAAGTAGTAAAACATCATACTTGCTGTAGTCTTGTGCAGGAGAACCATATGGTCCATCAATCAAAAGTTTTGGTAACCTGCATTTCCCAAAAAACCATGAAGCCTCAAATAGAAAAAACATATTATTAAGTGTTGAGATGCATATGGGGAATTAACATACGCTTTCTTAGTTGTCTCGTCCGCTCGAAGAAGGCCACTTTTCCCACCCACCGGTGGCTCACAAGCTGCTGAGAATACCCGCTTGAGCTCACGTGTCCAGTCACCAAGTTGTCGAACATGAATGCTTAAATAGTCATCCCCAGGTGCTGAAGTAATTGAGAAAGGATGCCTGAAAGAAGAACAAGTGTTTAACTACATATTCTAGTGTCCAAACTCCAGAAACATGACTTTGTGAGCTAGCTCGAGCTTAGTTACAAAGAAGATCCACACACCATTCAAAAGGTGAAACTGCAGGGCATTGAACAAACATATACTGCCCACTCTTGTAACGGAATGTGGGAGGTTTAGACATCTGCAATGTCAAAACATTACCAGGATATATAGCCACCTGCAAAAGAACCATGGGTCAGAGGACTGTAAACAAATTAATACTGTACTCAGATTTCTAAATATGTGAAGGTTACCTTCAATAACCGGACAGAATAACTGCCCGATCTGAAAAACCTCAGAGTCCTCTCCCCTACATACAGACCAACAGGAACAGCAAGGTACATCCATGTCTGTACAGAATAACAGGATATTAGATACTTAAAAAGTTACTGAGGTCCACAGAGTACACAGAATAAAAAATGAAGATTAGCTCACCGTCTTTTTGTACCAGTCGTGGATAAGGTATAGACACTCTCCATGAATAACAAGTGCTATGTACACAATGATGAACAAATGATGGGAGTACCAGAATGCATTGAAGCCAGTTAGTTTGTCAAATGGCCTTGGAAGCTTCACCAGGCTACGGCGGAACCACCTTGTTGCTAGAGTAAAAGCGATAAGCATGCACACAACCATGATTACCCCTGTTATGCCCTCCACTCCTTTTACCAGAGCTAGATATGTTGGTTTATTTTCCCCAAAGTATTTGCGCAGCGGAGCATACTTCATCTCTGATGAACGTATGAGCCGTGGAAAATCACATACAAGGTGGTTCCCTGCATGAAGAACAACACCAACCACAATTGCTGCTGCAATAGTCTGCCATTACAAAACAAGCAAAAGAAAAATTGTTCTTTTAGTTATATTCTTGATCTGGCTGAATCACATGTCACATGTATGTCCTTATTATGAAAAAACCCTTATCAGGCACCACTAATGCCCCCATTATACTTATGATTAATTTTTTGTTACATTCACAGCCAATAAGAAAATGTCAGCCATGAGTAGCCTTGACATGGCATTGCCCGACTTTTACTTTTAGCTAAATTGCTGTGATCAAATCATGGCGCACGTACAATCAAATGGTTTTAGCTTATCGGTACCACCTTTTAACTGAATATCAGGCATGAATATATTTCCATCAGCAAAATCATGTTCTTTGTTAGCTGAAGCCAAGGAGCAGGCAGAACACTGGCTACCTTGTGTGCTGATCAAGAACAATATTAGGTGAATATGATCTACCGTAAAGGCACAAAATGAATATTTAATAGGGTTAACACAATCTAGACTATGTCCTGACTGTAGGAACGTTAAATAAAGCTTTCAAACAAAATGCATGGAGGAACAATCCATCAATTGAGCTGTATATCTAATAGGTATAGTACCTAAGTCTCTTTTCGATCTTCTGGACATATGTGATAAAGCAGCCCCAGATGTGATAACCATGCAATGCAAGGGACAACTCATTTAACCAATTTTCTTGAATCACATTCACATGAATTCAGAACGACCAGCATGCGCTATAGAAACGAAGTAAAGATGATGAAAATGTGTAACATATCTCACAAACACACAACCATTTGTAAACCCTAAAGCTACGAGTCCACGACCCTCCAGCCCCATTTTGAAGGGGCAATAAAGAACTAATTGGAGTCTAGGGCTAACCTTGTGGAAGTTTATGTTGTCATCGAACGGCAATGCTCGTGCAGCTTTCGTATTCCGCAGCCAGGTGATAGTGTTGCGGCATACAGGCAAGAGAATAAGTGCCATGTTCAATTTGAGAGTCTCTGCAGCACCTTTCGCAGTTGTGACACAGTAGCCCATCACATCAAAGACATAACGGTTACGGTACTGAATGAACTTCCAAATGAACAACCCAGCCATTATTCCAATCCACACTGCAAGCACCCAGAGACGTTTCCAGTTGTCCTCCAGATAGTAGTTCAATGTGCTGCTAATTTTTCGGATTGGACTTCTTTTCCTTAGACCAGCAAGGTTCTGGCTTAGTGCCTGGCTTGTGTAGCTCAAGGCCTGGCTGTAGTTCACATAGGTATCCTTTTGCAGTAGTAGTGTCTCCAGTTGCCAAAGCTGCAATGACAATAAAAAGAAAAAAAATCAATATGTCACATAATTGCACTCTACATCCCTAACACCAGACCAATTTGGCACATATATATAAAAATAATAATAATATGTACAGACGTACATGTAAACATAGTGCATTTAAAATGTGGTGCATATGATAATTTAGTACTGAAATTAAAGAGCAAAACTACAAAAACCTTTTAGGATATTGTGCAGTGAGGATCTCAGTAGATAAAAGGAAAAGCAAAAATATCCTTGTTGACTTCAGAGAAGTATAACTGCTCAATTGCATAGGTATAGCTTCGGATTCAGCATAATGATTAGATATTTGATAGCTAACTTTATGAATGATTCTATGCTTACAATAATTTCAATTATTAGCACATAAATATGATCGCACCTAAGTTGATTAACAATAATAGTTCATAGTGTCATCTCCTGATAATCCTTAATTACACTTCTCAGGAGAAAAAGAAGCAGATTAACCATACACGTCAGTCTAAGAGACAAAAGTCAAACACTCCACCAGACTGCAGGTGGTCCCCTCAAGATTATAATTGCATCTGGTGGCGCACATGGCTCCCATATGAGCCCACCAAACATGCCACAATCTTGTAGAACATGCACGCAATAATTCCATTGTGAAAAGGTGGGACATGGAACTTGATTCTCAGCTCTCAGTTGTACTCACATCTGAGGACTGAAATTACTCGAGTACAAAAATAGCAACACTGCACAGGATTATCTGGAAATAAAAAAAGATGTGTTACTTTGTTCAACAAAATATAATTAGTACTAGACACCTAATAGAACTATTGGCAGCAACTGTTATGACTGTTTGTCCTTCAAGGAATGACATCTAGAGTTCTAGACACCAAGTCTTGCATTTGACAAATGCAGCCATTTGGGACTAAATGCAGAAGCAGATGCCCTGCGAGGGATGAAAGCGGTACAGGAAAATCCCGTACCGACCAATACGTTTTTTCTATTATGATACTGTTTACATTTTTATCAAAACAAGTTGTCATTTCATGATTTTGCACAGCCGTTTTTTACCTTTTTTCATTAGTTATCTTGATAAAAAAGGGAAAATCCCATACTGACCGCTTTTGTTTCCATATTATAGTAGCGCTTCTTACCATTTTCATCCCTACCATAATGCTTCATTTGCAAAAAAATCTAAGTCTAAGATTCAGCATGGGATGGTAATTTGTATCTTTCTTGATAGGATTCATTTTTTTCACTAAAAGTTTTGTATTAGATATGAAACATGATCTTATATCAACTGAAAACAATCATCATACTGTGTGCTCTGCCTTGCTGAAGAGTAAAAATAGAGGATGGATGCAAGTTTCTCCATACAGATGGTTATTTAAATATAGAGGTTTTTATCAAGAATTCAGATTATTTAAATATCATGTTGATGAGAGCGACCTGTAGATTTTTGGTCCCCGCAGCTGGAGCTTGGTGTCCTCATCAGATTTTACAGCAGCTAGGAAACAATTTAAGCTGCCATGGATAGGCTCCCTGGTATAATATGAGTGCTGACAACATAGATGTTTTAGTTACAATATACTCCTAAAATGTGCTGGCTAGAGCTAAAATACTTTTGCAGTTTTGCTACTAGATGCAACCTCAAGTGAACCCATGTATAATGTCCTCAGATAAGATCAAAGAGTCTCCTTAGATGAAGTCAGGTGGTTACATTTTAAAGAAAGAACGGCTCCAGTTGCCCCATCTCCTTTTATCATAGAAAGAAACCCAACCACACAGTTAAAAATAATGGAGGAGCAAGCACTAGGAGAAATAATAAAATAAGAGACTTCTTTTCAGACCAAACATGAGCTAGATGGTTATGGCCACACACCACTGCATTCTGGTATGTTAAGAAGATGTACAGAAGGCAAGCAGGGACGACCAAAATTAGACTGGCATGTAGGAAAGTTGGAGGAGATCAGTGGAAGGGTTTGACTAGGCAGGAGCAAGAAAACAAAATCTTCCTTCAGATACTGACCCAGGACTCTTTCAATAAAAAAGTAGGTTAACTTTCGCTTTCAATTTTCACCAAATAAGAAACAGTAGCTGGTGAACTGACCAACCCTGTGATGTTGTTTGGTTAAAACAAGTTAATGCAGCCCTGCAGTATCAATTTATTACTGGACAGACCCAAATACGTGCAGTCAAAACTCTTTAGTTTTGTCACACTACTCAATAATTCAACAATTTCTAGTCAGGTTATTTCTCCTAAACACCTTCAAAATCAGTGGATACTGATGGGATCATGCAATATAAGAGTATCATAGAATCAGTTATTTGTCTCAGATCATACACAGTATGGGATAAAACGACATGCTATGTTACCTCAATGTAACCAAGCCCTTCAGGATCAATTTCCTCCATGATCAAGGCTGCATACTCCTCAGCTTGCTCCTTAAGCCTCGACAATTTATTAGCAGAAGCACTCAGCATAATGATCTGGAAACAAAACAGTGGCACCTTTCAATCAACTGATCACAAACCATACTTTTCAGTTTTCACACACGGGGAAAAAAAAGTAACCCAAACAAACAGCCTAGCCTGGCCCTTTCCACGATGACCTCAGTTAAATAAACAAATTAAGCTCTAATCCAAAAGCTTCCCCCTTTCCACGCATTGTTTGAGCAGATTAGAGTACTAATTAGGAAGCATGACAGAAATGCCCCCACCAACTATTGCTTTCTGGCCTCCAGCCTCCTGTAGGTCAGTTCCATCTCCATCAATAGTAAATTTACTAAACACCCCTCCCACGTTCTAGAACCAACAACGATTGCTAAAAAATAGTGATGTGGGGAGACCGGCCGGTGGTGGGGATGCTTTCTCCGCCAGTTTCGCCGGGATGATGCCTCGATTAGTCGGCAATGTTTCTCCAAGCTACCAATTCCGTAATCCTTATGCGTAAATCCAGGAACACAAACTTGTAAGGCAACAAAAAAACAAGTACATAACTACAGAGGCATGGAAATGGACAGCCCAGTTATCAAAAGACCCCCAAATAATTGTACGAAAATATCCCCAAACGGGAGAGCAAAAACAAAACAAAAAGATCGCAAGTGAAACACCAAGCACAGCAACGAGGAATTGTTTACCTCTTTCACCTCGGCCTCCGTGATATGGCCATCTGCGTTCTTATCCACCCTGATTAAAATGATATAATAGATATAGCAAAATAAAAAACGAAGACACATTGATAGAACTGAACAACTGATGTGTTCCATATAGCGCTAATTTGATAGCAGTTCTCAGATTGCAGGGATTACATGTCGAAGAAGATCTGGAGGCGCGAGTCGAAGCTGTTGTCGGTGATCTGCTGCCAGATCTCGCGCAGCTCATCCTTATTGATCTTATCCACCTGCATCTGCCGGCGGCGGCTCAGCGTGTCGAAGAGCTCCATCGCGAACTCCTGCGACTCCATCATCCCTGCATCCAAAAACTCCAATGCGGTTAGGAACTAATCGCTCGAAGCAGCCTGCGGTTTCTGGAAGGGAAAGGGGGAGGGGACTGAAGTGAACCTATGCATTTGGGGAAGTCGGCGCGGGAGAGGTAGCCGTCGCGCGCGAGGCGGTCGAAGTTGGCCTGGACCTCGATCCAGGCGTTGCTGGCCTTGTTGCCGCCGCTGATGAAGCGGAGTCCGCGGATCGCGCGCTGCGCGCCGGACTTGGTGCGGTCGAGCTGCGCGCGGCGGCGGCGCTGTGCGCGGGCCTCGAGCGCGGCGTCGATGCCCGAGGACGGCACCTCCCCCGCCGCCGCGAGGTTGGCGCGGCTCTGGGTGCGCGTGAAGCGCTTGGTGAGGTCCTGCGAGAACTGCTTGGCGCGGCTGGCGGTGGCCTTGAGCTCTTGCGAGAACTGCAGCAGGCGGTGCGAGGAGGTCCGGCGCATCGCGGGAGAGCGCGACCGCGACGGCGCCGCGGTGGACGACGGGGTCGGGTCCGGGTGGCGGCGAGGCGGAGCCGCCACCGCGGCGGCGCCCGCCGCCGGCTCGACGCTCCGCAGCACAATGTTGTCGTCCTCGAGGAGGTCCAGCGTGACCTCGACCAGCTCCTCGCCGTCGTCGGAGCTCCGGTCGGAGCCGCGCGGCGAGGAGCCCGTGCTCAGTGACCGCGGCGTCGTGGCGCCCGAGCCCCATGGCGGGCGCCCCGGCGTGCCGACGCCCGGCCCTCCTCCTCCTCGCATCGGACCACTCCTCCCCGCCTGTCTGTCCTCCTCAGTCCTCACCAACTGGCCGCTGCTTGAAGCTATGAAGCCACCACCAGCACCAAACCCCCTTTGACGATTTGGGAGAGAGAGAGAAAGAGATATAGCTCACGCAACAGTCCAAGCCGGCGCGACCTAAACGCGGTAGCTCGTAGTCACCCTTCACCCTCCTCCTTTTCTCTCTCCCCGACCGCGCGCGCGTGTGTGCGTGGAGAAAGAAAGAAGAAAGAAAGCCACCCTCGTGCCCGTGCTCGTGCTCAAGCCTAGCGGAGGGGCCGAGCGGAGCGGAGGACGACAGGGGAGACAGGGCTAGCAATTTATCCGGGACAAGCACAGGCTAGCCGACGCGACGCCGCCCCCAGAAAACGTAAAAAAGTTGGTGGAGCTGCGGCGCCGCGGCACCTGTATGCGCTCCGCCACCGCCAGCTTTACTGCCCGGTAAAGTGTGATGTTCTGTACGCGTTCGCACTTGCCAGTGAACATTTTCATGGTAGGTATTTTAACTTTTTTGTTTACTACTACTACTACTCGTCGTTCCAAGTGAGTCATCAAATAGTCAGGCACATTTGCATGCAGAAGTTGCGTGATGACGTGACGCGCCATCCTACCTCCTACGCGCGCGCGCGCGGGGCCGGGCGACGTGTCCGTCTGGGCGGGCGCACCTAACGTGACCGGTGAGGTGAGATCGCGGGGGTGGATAGTGCCGGCGCCGGCCCTGCGCTATAGTAGTATCGCCATCATGAGCCCGGCGGGCGCATGTGCCGTGCCGTGTGGCCGCGCGGGCGGGGCGCGGGTGCGGGAGCGCACGGCACTTTCCGGCTAGGCGCGTCGCTGCCCACGACGCCAGGTTTCTGAGGGGGCCGGGCGGGGCAGGCGATCATTGCTCGGCACGGCAGCTCGTCGTCGAGGCGTACTCGAGCCCTCTGGTGAGTGTGGTGACAGCATCATTGGTTGTTGAGATGAGGTTGAGGGGCGCTCCGTCTGAAGCTCAACAGGCAGCATCTGACTGTAGCAAATGGCATAGCCAGAAGCAAGTGGAGGAGTTGATGGTACTCCTCCTGCAACTACAGCTGAGTAGCAAATGGCAAAGAGCTTTGGAGCGAGACAGCAGGACAGGGGAATGCGTGTCCTGCGAGCGGTGGACATTGCGGATAATCCGCAACAGCTGCCGTGGATCATTTATATATAGTACTCCTATGTCAAGCGCACTTGTTTCGTTCCACATTATTTTGTTTGTTGTTGCTGGACGACACAGTGGCATTTGGCAAGCAACAGTTTCAAGGAAGAGAGTTCTTTTTCTCCAGCTGGAAATAAAACAGTAAAAAAACATGCTTAAAATAAGAAGATCAGGGGGGGGACTGCATATTGACGAGATGAGTTGAGTTGAGTTGTGATGCACCAATGATCTGCCCTGCCCATTTGATTAGCAGTACGCAACGAACGCCCAATGATTAACCAGCTCATCAGCAAAAGGATTAGTAGATACGTGCCTCGAATAAAAGATCTCGTTCGTACACCGTGTCACGAACATTTCTTAACGTACCTGAAGAACTCGGCAACGGGCTGCTAGCTAGGCGAGCTTGGTCAATGGATTTCTACGTCAATGCCCGTGCTTGATCAGAAGATAAGAAGAAGGCACGGATCGAAATGTAACCTAGCGGTGCGAGGTAGTGGAGAACTGGAGAACACCTTCAGCTAATCAGCTGGGTGACCAAGTCTATAACGAACTCACGCCTCTTTTAATTTGCGTATGATTTGCTCCGATTTGATTATTGGGTTCCACCAGCTTCTGATACGATCATACGAAACGATACAGAAACGGAGGGGGTGTTCTTTGCTCTCAGTGGCATGAGCGCGATTAATGGAAATGATTGGCCGTCTAGTAGTAATCATATAAGAACAAAATTGGATGGGGAATAAAGTAAAATTTCTAGTTGGCCTAGCTACCACAACCATGTTCCACATCTGACTTTGCCACGGGAAGACCTCTGGGTAATGTCATGTGGTGTCCGCTTGAAAATTCCCGAATTATGTCAGTTAGCTCGCCCATGATCTAGCATGCGTGCATGTTCACGATAGATTGTTGATACGTACTGCAGCTGTCCATGATTAAAAAAATGTTACAAGAACCAGCAAAAAGTACGAAGTTGGAATTAGTTTGGTTAATGCTCATCATTAAAGCTTTCTGAACAAATCACCTAGCTCATCTGTTTTGGTTAAAAGTGCCCAAAACTTGACCAAATATATAACTTAAGTATTAATGTTTATGGCGCTAAATAAGTATATTGCAGAAATATATCTCATGGCAAATCTAACATTACTTATTTGATATTATAACCATTTACATTTTTTATATAGTTAGTTGAGCTTGAGATACTTTAACTTGGTATTATGCTAGAATTGCAATGTTTTGTGGACGGAGGAAGCAATATAAGAGTATCTCCAAGAGTACCCTATTTCGCTTCCTAATCCTTGATTTTTAGCAAGATGAGAAAAAATCTCTCTCCAACAACTTCTAATGCTTCGTCCTAGAATTTACGCACTTGGGAAATCCTCCCCCGTCGCGGGTAACTTTGTGCGGAGTCGCGGTACCGCGGATACACGCGTATTCATCGGCCAATTAAAGGTGGAAGGGCGGAAAAAGAATAAATAGTATAGAAGGGTTCTAGATGCAAATGTACAAGAAAGAAAGAATATATAAAATTAGTTAAAATAATTTAGAAATAGTATATGATTCCCGATGTAAAATTGTCTTCTATATTTTAGGAGTGAATTATTAGAAAGTATCGGAGATGACCTTCTTTTTTTCTCCCAATACATTTTTAGGAGTTGAAAAACATGGACTTTTTAAGAGAAAAAATTAGGATACTCTTGGAGATGCTCTAAGATAGCTTACCATCACTAATTGGAGGCTTCTTTTGAACTATATCCTCGTTAATCATCGTGAGATGCATTAGAATTCACGTAAATTAAAAATTTGATCATCGATTCAATAAAACTCCATCATCAATTCGGTAAACTCTTCTGTATTTGATCATCTATTTCATTTTCTAAAACAATACTCACCTCTACCATTACAAAATACAAATCCCCCCGTTCCAAATTATAAGATGTTTTGGATCTTTTAGATACTTAGAAAAACCAAATGATGTGGAACATGGTTGTAGTAGCTAGGTCAACTAGAAGAGCAATGTATATAGTAACCCCTAAATCTACATATGAATTATTCAACTCTCCATTGCGAAAAAATAACATAAAGTTTCACCTAAAATTTATATAAATTGTCCACCTATTATTATGAAAAGAATCTAAAATAACTCCATAAATTTGCATTTTGAATATCCATGTTCGTCATTACTAAAATTAATCGAGAATGACATCACCTATGCCCTTATGAAAAATAATACAAAGCAACCTCTTAAATTTACCCATCTTCACCAATATTAAAAATAACAAAAGATAACCGCTAAGTCTGCAGCTAAATTATCTACAATATTCATTATAGAGAATTGTAGCCTTAAGTGCTTTTAAATATACGCTTCTAGAGTATCCACTTCTTCTATTGTTAATTGTAGAAAACTAACTCAAGACCATGCATGAAATGTATCACGTACCATTCACATGGCATATACATATATGCATAAACGACAGTAATATCTACTTTCATATCGAATACATAGCTCAAGATAGGTTTTACTTAAACACATGTCATACAACACACGGAGCCGCGATGCAAAGGGACAACTATGATTCTATGAATAGAGGTTGAAAGGTATATAGAGTAATCATTAACTAAAGTTTATTCATTTGGGCAAAGATAAGAAACTATCTACAAGAATATAATATCGTGTTGAATATAAATAAATTAGAGAGAGCAAAAGTAAACACATCAAGTTGTGATGGCTCTAAATTTATTTCTGAATTTCTAAGACATAGCTCTCTTGATGTTAATCAATAGCCGTGTAGGAGCACACAACTTCATGGACTAATTAAAATAAAGTAAAACCACAAAATGTGCAGCCATTAAGTCATTTGTACCGTCCATTTACCAACCACTTCTTCTGTCCCAAAATAGGTGTCATTCTCACTCCTTGAGAAGTCAAACGTTTTTATCTTTGACCAAATATATATAAAAAATCATTAATATTTATGGTACATAATAAGTATCATTAGACTTATTGTTTAATATATTTTTATAATAAGTTTATTTAGAGCTATGAATATTGATAATATTTTTTATAATCTAGTCAAATTTAAGAAAATTTTGACCTGTTCAGAACCTGAAGTGACACTTATTTTGGGACAGAAGAAGTAGATTTTAGGATCCATCCAATCGCTAGAGGCTAGAGGGACGTATCTTCCTTCCCATCGCATTCTGTTTTACTAGTAATTTGGTTTTTCCTTTTAACCTTCTGTAGAATTTCCATGTTCCAATTGAGTGGCAACTGTTCTCTGCCTCTTTGGTCAGTTTTTGTACCACATTACGTATTTATGTCAGTCTTGTGAAGCTGTGATGTACTCGGAGTAGGCACGTACCACGTAGCACGTAGCAGTCCTCACGTCTGCTTTTCCGGGTCCAGATTAGCGTGTAGCGGGGGTGGTACCCCAAAAACGTCTCGAGTCTGTCCTAAGCTGCGCAGTTAAGCTGTTTGGACCATGCATTGCTACGGTACCGTCGGCCGGCCTACCATTGCCCCGTCTCCACTCGTTCAAACCGTGACCAGCTTCAGGCAGCCTGTCATTGGCAGATTTCTTTGCATGCAGCTCACGTACAACGGGGTACGATAGAAGCCCATCGAACGACGGACCATACACGCCGCATAGACAAAGACACCGATGATTATCGAGAGGAAGACTCTCTTTCATTTGGGCCATCTGAGATGGTCATCGACCTACCTAACACCAGTGACGACCAGACTGATTGGTCTCACACGCGAAGCTCACTCAGAGCTTCCCGGTCCCATGTGATGGAGACGGAC